GCTGCGGGGCTGGACCTCAGCCTTTCCCCGCCTGGGGCCGCCGCCGCACCATTGGTTGCTCCGCGTCTCCAAAAGGGGCCCTTCGACTCCTCACTGGGTCAGTCTGGTGCTGGGTCGTGGAACTCCCCACAACTCCCGCTGGTCCGGAACTGGATCCCTTCTTCCCAGAGTTGCGAGCAACTTTCCCGTCTCCCTGGCGCTGCAGTGGCTCGGGGATCGGGGCAGCCGCTGGTAGCTGAACCCAGGGCCAAGCTACCCGCGCCGCGGCTGAGCGCGCGCGTTGGTCTCTCTCGGTGCACGCTGGGGGTCCCGGAGCTCCGCTCTGCCGGGGAGATGCCTCTGGGACACATCATGAGGCTGGATCTGGAGAAAATCGCCCTGGAGTACATCGTGCCCTGTCTGCACGAAGTCGGCTTCTGCTACCTGGACAACTTCCTTGGCGAGGTGGTGGGCGACTGCGTCCTGGAGCGCGTCAAGCAGCTACACAGCAACGGAGTCCTGCGGGACGGCCAGCTGGCCGGGCCCCGCGCAGGCGTCTCCAAGCGGCACCTGAGGGGCGACCAGATCACGTGGATCGGGGGCAATGAGGAGGGCTGCGAAGCCATCAGCTTTCTCCTGTCCCTCATCGACAGGCTGGTCCTGTACTGCGGGAGCCGGCTGGGCAAATACTACGTCAAGGAGAGGTCCAAGGTAGGACGCGCGCGGGCGCCCCACCGCTGCTGCAGCCCGCAGGGACCGGAGACATGCGGAGTCTGTTGTCTGTCGTCTTCGCAGGGCTACGAGCGAACTTTAGGTTTTAACCAAGAAGCAAGAAAGAAGTCAGTCTGGTCTTCCCATCCCCCAGGGAAAATCCATGCTAAGGGACTTAGGTGTATCATTATAATGACCTTCTGATAACTTTGAAGTAATGGCTCTGGTGGGTGGTACAAGCTGGACAAGCTGTGGCTTTTTGGTCTGATTTTAAGACGTGGAGGTTCTCAAAAGTCCATACGAGGGACAGGTTGTTAGAAAGATGGTGTATGATCCGAGACACACGTGAACTCATGATCTTAACTGTCTACTTTAAAGTCACCTAATATTTGCCCTTCATTGATTCCAAAGGGGATTCCCATGACCGCACTTTTAAAGAATGCTGGGGACAGCTGTGATTTTGCAATGTGGCATTCGGTTTGTGGAGTTTGGCAGGTGTGGAAAGAGTTTGCCCTGTGAAAGAGTAAAGCTCCTCTTCACTTTTGAGTGCTGCCCTTGGCTCGTTGCACTCAGGACACTCAGATCATCTGTTTGACTGAAAATTCTCTCCTGGTGCTGAGCCCACACCACCACCTTCCCTTTCCTAACTTGCAGTTGATGGGGAAATCTACTCAAAATCACCAGTTATGCCCTAACCGGTTTGGCTCAGTGGATAAGAGCGTGGACCTGCGGACTGAAGGGTCCCAGGTTCGATTCTGGTCAAGGGCATGTACCTTGGTTGCAGGCACATCCCCAGTAGGGGGTGTGCAGGAGGCAGCTGACTGATGTTTCTAACTCTCTATCCCTCTCCCTTTCTCTGTGTAAAAAATCAATAAAATATATATTTTTAAAAATACACTGGTTATGTGATCAGAATAGGGTAGTCAAGTACCTCTGGAAAGAAATGATGTTTTCGTTCACAGCCAGAAGTGACTCCCTGGGTAGAAATTTATCTTGGAAACATTTAGAGGTAGGTTGGCAGAAATGTGGGAACATGTAGTGCCATGTACATTCATTTGGGATAGTCTAGCCACTCAGTCTTTTCTACAAATGACAATCCAGCCTGCTTTCCAGTGGCAGTTCTGAGAGTGATTTGCATTTCTTTTATTGTGGACTGGCCAAGGGGCACTCAGAACTGTGGGAAACGTGCACTTTAACACAGCAAGGCTACACATACTAGCGTGAGAAGGAAGGTGAACATTCACCTCTGTACCATTCTTTAACCACATAGGTAGTATTTCTCAATTTAAGATCCATCCTGTGATAACATACCTTGTCTCATTTGTTCCATAAGCTGAGAGGAGCACTCTTAATATAGTGCAAGTAGTGAAGATTGGAAATGTATAGAAATGAAGGGGTTGGAGTGGTGAATGGAGTAGAGGAGAAATAGATTGCTTTCAAACTAGGGGGACATGAATAGAATATCAGAAGACATTGCTATTTATCTGACACAAAAAGTAAATCTTAGAAAAAAATGCTGCTTTCTAACTTTGCTTTGGGGAAAATTCAGAGTTAGCAGGAATCAGTAGACGATTGATGTTATTGTTTCTCTACTCTTCCATCATTTGGGTGGTGGATGAGAAAGCTGTTTGTCTTGATCAGTCTTATATTTGCACCTTGCCCGTCTGGGGCCCCGTGGGGGAGGGGAGGGGAGGGAAATGGCTAGCCTCAGTATTGCAGAGGTGCTTGTAGCTTCAACTTGGAAGAGCAGATGGCTTCTTACCAGTTTTTAAAACTTTCTTTTAAACTTAGGCTGAGGAATCCTCCCCTCCCCCCACCTCCCTCGGGCATTCTAGGAACAGAATTCGCTTTGAAGGAGGTCAGAATTAATTGGCAGAAAGAGGTCACTAACATGTTTGAATGTTAAGTATTTTTATTTAGCTTTGACTTAATGAACAGTGGTAGGGTTTTAGGCTAGAATTTAACTCCACAAAGGGAATGAAAAGCACTGAGTATGTCTGGCTAAGGACAAGATTTATAAATATGATTTTTCAATTATGGATTATCTTCTGGGTAGAACAAATAACTTTTCAGTTAACCCTTTCAGTTAACAGAACATGACTGTGAATTGAAAAGAGGAAATACATCTGTTGTCCACGGAAGAGACATCTGTCTGCCCATACCTAGATGTCCAACTCTCCTTTGGCTATTTTGGCACAAAACTCTTCACTCCTTCCCTTTAGAAAAATCACCTCTAGATTGGGATATTCCCAACCAATGAGAACCAAATGCATACCAGGTTTGAGCAAACAGTTGTTATAGTAAATTTTTTTTAAAGTTTGATTTGCTTGTATAAAGAAGTCTCTTTAGTAATGTCTGTGGCCTTGGGTCTCTTGTTTGAAGTTCATTATTAAAGCATTGTAGGAAAAACACATTGCATTTCTACATGATTTATATTAGTTTCATCTTAATTTAACCTATTTACTTCTCTTCCTTCAACTGAGTACCTTACCCTTCTGCTTCCCAGAGTAATGATATAGACCCACTTTTTTCATACCCAGTTTTAGAAAAACTGAATTTTTTAAAAGCAGAACATGTAAATTTATTTTAAAAATTTATTTGTAACTTTTTATGAAAAATTTCAAACATATTAATTTAGAGAGTCTAGTATAATGAACTCCCATCCCCCATTTTCAACATTTGCCAATGCATACATTTATTTTAGACCAATTCTTTTTCAGGTACTTTAAATTTCTGTGCTTATTAGTGTATTGACTCTAATTAAGTACTTTTTCCCCTGGATTTTTAAAGGTCATTGAATAATGTAATAATGCCCTGTATCTCAATGAAGCAATAGCAAAGGCATTGGTAATAAAATAGGAATATAATACTGGAATTGAAATGGAAATTGTGGAAGGATATGGAAATAAATATTCCAGGATCCCCTCTTCCCTGCCAAAAAGGTTATTACAGGTCAGAATTTATCTACCTCCACTTTGTTGGAGAAAAGTCCTAGGGTGGTGAAGACTCTGGGGCAGTGGTTTCCTATAATGTAGTATAGCAGTATGGCGCCCCCTAACTTCAAGCATGATCATTGCTTTCAGGCTATCAAAAGATTTATCTGCTACTTCCTTTTGGAGACTTTAGACTATATCCAAGATAAATATTGGTTATAAATTGCTCCTTTTGTTTTGGCTGCCTAGAAATGGCTGTTTTCCAGCAAACATGTAACTTATAGAACTGAATGTTCTGCTTGAAGCATCTCATTATAGACTCACTAGTGAGTAACTAATAACTACACTTTAATGAGCAGTTTGCTCTGTCTGGCATTGTACTAATAAGCACTTTAAAAACACTGTCTGTCTGACTTAGTCTTCAAAACCACAATCTTCAGCAAATTGAGTGATTAAATCATTTACCAAAGGTCACAAAGTCAGTGGTAAGAAGCAGTTTATCATAAAAGGACAAACTCACAGATACAGACAATAGTATGGGAATTACCAGAGAGGGAGGGGGTTAGGAGGAGGTAGAAGAGGATACAGGAAGGAGATTTGACTTGGGGTGGTAAACAGCACAATTTACAGATGATGCATTACAGAACTGTACACCTGAAACCTATATAATTTTATTAATCAATGTCACCCCAATAAAGTTAATAAAAAATTAAAATAAAATAAAAGTTAGGAGCTTATGCCGGGGGTTACTGACCCTGTAGGTAAGTTGCTGAATTTTTACCAAGTGTAAAATGAGGGATAATAATACTTTAAAGCTTTTCAGGGAGGGAGCATTAGATAAGATAATGTACTTAAAATTCTTAGCAGGATTCTAAGCCTTCATAAATGTTATAGGCTGTCAGTGGAAGACTTGGGATTCTAACCCAGTTCTGTCTGACTTCAGAGTTTGTGTTCTTGACTATGATGCTCCTAGTTTTCATCCTTTCATTTATTCAGCAAGTGCTCACTCAGCATGGGATACTGTGCAAGGCTTGAGGTACAAAGGTGAGCAGGCATAATCCCTGCCTCATGGGGCTTAACATTCACTTGTGCATTTGAATGCAGGATCCTCTAGTTCACACTTGATTAATTCTCAAGCCTAAAAAAGAAAAAAGACAAAACCCAAACATTGCAGTGGGTCAGCTACATACATTTGAGGAAGAAAATGGAGGGCTGTGCTAATGCTTTCCTACTGTTACTGGCAGGAAGAGTTTGTTAACAAGGTTGCTTGCTAGGACCCCTGACTAGAGGAGTTCTGGCCATGGGGTTATGTGGGTTGTATTGTGCACAGACAGATCAGCCCTCCTGTGGAAACAATGCAGAGAAGTGATGAAACAGCAATAAGTTATGAATAAAAGAAAAAGTGTTGTGAAGTGGTGGGTTTGTTCCTTTGCTATCAATAAGTTTGGCCCACCCTTCTCATGTGATGTCAGGAGTATCCCTTACTCAGTGGAGCTTTTCATGGTTGCAAACTGCTTTAAGCAAAAATGGGATAATGTATGTTGAAGATCAGGCTCTCTCTCAGGAGCCAAGTGCAGGAAATGCAGTCATGGTTCACAGAAGGGTAGGTGGAGCCATGAACTATGAACCAGAGAGTCCTAACTACCCAGGGCAGCTTGGGTGTTAGTTCTTTTCCTGGTGCTTTATGGCCTCCATCTTTGCTTCTCTGCTGGTGCCCTTTATTTCTCCCCCGCTCTCCGTTCCGTCCAGCTTTTTCTGCTTTTCCATGTACGTGGCTCAAAATGATGCCCTCCCCCACAGTGGCCACCTCAGCCTCAGTCTGAGATCAGCAAACACTTGACCAATATTCTAGAATCTCCTTTTCATCAGCCTTGGTTGGGGAGGTAGAGGGGCATGTGAAATCATAGATTATAACTATGGTTGTCTGGACCCCTGAGAAGTGCAGTTCTTAAAGCATGGGGCTTGAGGACTAGATCCAGAAACGGTGTCTCTGTAATTAAAAATCTTAAAAATCTGTCTGAGCTATTTTAGGGGGAGGAGGCACTGAGTTTGAAAGACTGGAACATTTTTCTGTAAGGATGTGAGGGATTCCTATAAAAGGTTTTGTATTTAAAAATAACTTAGCTCTTGGAGGAAGGAAATTAATCCAAGGAAATAATTTACAGAATTCAGCGTCAGTGACAGCGAAGCCTGTTTCTCCATTGGGTGGTTTTCATAGTGTCTTTTGTCTGTTCTGTTGAGTAACACTTGGGAACAAAGAAAAGAAGATAGGCATGTGTGCATATGTGTGTGTACTTTATAATTTCTTTTGTTCACTTTTGGACCACTGGCCACTCAACCACTACTTTATCTGCTTGCAGTGAAGTGGGAAGTCAGGGGGTATCAATTTAATTTATTAATTGACAAATTGTTAAATGTCTTGTACTGTGGGAGACCTGTAAGTGGCTGGGAGAAGGAAGGTGAAAAGTGATTATAAAACCACCTAAAGAAGCTGAAAGTTGAGTGGTGTGAAGTGGTTGTCACCAATTTTGCTTTCTCTTTTCTAATTAAACTGCACCTTTACACTGATTAGTCATTTTTGTTTCTCTTCTTCAGGCTTTCTCCAATTTCTCTATTTAAAATTAAGTGATCAACATTAGTAACCAAAACTATACCAAACTTTAATGATACAAGTTTTTAGAGCTACAGAGAAGTATCAGAAATCACATCTCTCCAGTCATTCAATCATTCAGCAGTTTTAATATTTGGAGAGATGAGGTCTTGCAAGGGATTGGGGTCCTGGGCCTAAGCAAAGGCGCTTTAGTGGAGGGGGGCTAGCCTGGCTGGGGTTGCTCCCTGAGTCAGGTAGACTGTGAGACAGGGTCGGTAGGTTAATTCAGCTGCATGAGCATTTTATTTGTGAATTTCAAAGATAATTCTCATTTAAAATTGACAAACATCCTTTCATGGAGTTATATTAGCCTATCTGTACATTCAACTTTTGGGTGTCATGAATTATTTCCTTTTCTGACCTCACTCAGCCCAGAGCAATTTTGTACATTCTTTTCTTTCTTTCTTTTTTTAAAAATATATTTGTATTGATTTCAGAGAGGAAGGGAGAGGGAGAGATAGAAACATCAATGATGAGAGATAATCATTGATCGGCTGCCTCCTGCACGCCCCCTACTGGAGGTTGAGCCTCCAACCTGGGCATGTGCCCTTGACCAGAATTGAAGCAGGACCCTTCAGTCCACAGACTGATGCTTTATCCACTGAGCCAAACCGGCTAGGACTGTGCGTTCTTTTCTGATTCCTGACTCTGACTAGAAAGATTTCAGATTTTATAAATAACAGGCAGCCTTGCATGTTACGGCTCCATTCTGAAAACACACCATGTGTGGAAGACATCTCGGATAGCAGATGGGGATAGGGTTTGTCCCAGAATGAGCAGGGCACCTCTGAGAAGCATCTCTAAGCACCCCAACATCGTGCATTTCATTAGAAAGCTTAGAGGGCATCTCCACTGTGGGCGGCCTTTGCTGAGTTTGGCAAGACCTCTCTGCTTTGGACTCACTTTTGTAGCTGCAGGTAAATTAAGTGACGTTTTGACCTGTGCCTATTGAATACTAAGGAGCAGCTTGCGGGTTCACACTATGGAGAAGATTATTAATTCTTTGTTAATTGTTACTGCAACAGACTTGATAATTCCTTTGTAGTACCACTTTGTAACTGTTAACTAATATTGCTCCAAGAAATGGGTGTCATTTTTCTGTAGTGTTTGTCAAATGCACATGTTTTGACAGTAATGATAGTTCAGATGTATTCTGCTGGGCAACTGCCAGGGGTGCCCAGCGGGTAGCTGAATCCAGAGGCACTGGAATTGTAAGTGTGACAGGCAAATCATTTTATGATGCCAGACTAAGGAATTCAGCTTTGGCAGATTGCCCGGAGCCGTTGATTTGGCTCAGATTCAGAGCTATGTGTCCATTTGCCAAGAGATTAGTTAGCTCAGCTCATTATACATAGAATTTATACCCCACTTCCCTCCATTATTTCAGTCTTCAACCAGTATGCCTCTTACCTTAATTTTGTATCTTTTGATATTGGGATTTGTGGATGAGTTCCTCTGTTTGTTTTTGGTGAGCTGGTAGTGACTGTTATATTTTTCACCTCCTGCCCCAACGCAGTCCCAGTCTTACAGACACGTGGGTTTGCAGTTGTATAATGCAGACTTTCAGGTCTTATGCTGGATTCATTCTGTACCTACTTACTGAGAGTACTCCACGTTCAGTACCATGTCAATACCTCCTTATTAAGTCAAGACAATTTTTGATTCTTTAGGAGATACAATGATCAACATTTCTTAATTTCTGAAGTAAATGTATCAACCTCATATTAAATATTGTTTCCTTCCAACATGAATTTCAAAATGCAAAGAGTCTGGGAATCCGACAGCCATCTTGATTATTTGCCAGTGGGAAGAGACAAAATGGAAAACTCAGTTCCAGGTGTCAGTGACGTCTATTTTTGGTTCAGTAAGGGAACTTGAAGTTGTTCTGGAGTATTCAGGATCATACTCTTCTATTTGAGTATTGCTTGGAAGCAGTAAACATGCAGTGTTTTAAACAGTCTGAACATCCTTTGGACCTTGCTCTGTGTTCTCCAGACCCAGAACAAGAATCTGCCTGTGCCCCTCCCTCCAGATCCCCTCCCATTTCTACTCATCTGTCTAGTCCAGGGGTCCTCAAACTTTTTAAACAGGGGGCCAGTTCACTGTCCCTCAGACTGTTGGAGGGCCGGACTATAGTTTAAAAAAAAACTATGAACAAATTCCTATGCACACTGCACATACCTTATTTTGAAGTAAAAAAACAAAGCGGGAACAAATACAATATTTGTATTTGCATGTGGCCCGCGGGCCGTAGTTTGAGGACCCCTGGTCTAGTCAAACCTGAGGGACTATTACTCAGAAATCTCAATACCTTACACAAAATTGACAGTGAGTCTTTTTGTTTGTTTGGTTTTTGGATGGCTTTTTTCCTATTCATATTGTTTTTGAGTGATGGGAGTAGATAAGTAAAGCTTTTTTAAAACACAAAATATTGAAGATTCAGGCAGGAACATGCAATATTATTGGTCAAAGTTTGGCCTATTTTGTGCCATTTTCGCTTTTTATTATGTTTGTTTTTTAGGTTCACTGTGGAGCCTCAAGTTTTGTCTTTTCTTAAAAAACTGAATTTTGTTTTCCTTTCATAGTAGAAATCCTTGAGGAGGAAAGTATTTTAAAGAGACTTAGTTTAACCATAACTCACCTCCCTTTTGTTTTCATTCTCCCTGTAATCCATTTTCATGTGCTTTTGTCAGAGTGTAAACGGCCCCAAACCCATCTCTAATCGTGCAGTCTCTATGCTTAAAAACCCCCAACCGGGCTCTGTCCCTATTGTCCACTCTACGTGCTGTGCACTTCCTAGTGTGCCACGTAAGGCCTTCCACATCTGACCTCAACTGACCCCATTGACCTTTCTATACTTAATCTGCTCACCTCTTTCCTTCTCTCCCAATCCCTGAAATGCTAGGGACTGATTTTGCCAGGCACACGGAGCTTCCCATTGTTTCTACTCTTCAGGATCCATCGTAGTGCCTTCTCCATGAAGTCTTCCCTTCTGCTCCCTAGAACTCTGTGGGTGGCTCAGTCCAGGCTGCCCTAGTACATTTATTTTTTTGGCTGCTTCCTCTAATCCAGCAGTTACTTAAAAATTCCATTAAGGCAGATATATAAACTTAATATATACTTTCAGTGCCTTGAACAGTCCTTTACAATTCATAGGTGCTTGTTGACTTAATTTCATTTTCAAAAGGAACTTTGATTTCAAAGGATGTCAGGATGTCAAAAAAAAAAAAAAAGGTTTTGCAGCATGGTCCCTAATTTGATGTCATAATGTTTAAGTATTGTATTACATTAACATGCTACGAGGAACCATCTTAAAGGAGGGGCTTTAGCTTTGTGAGATTCTTTCCTCCGTTTTGGAATTCCATGCCTGGCCCTAGCTTTGGAAACTCACCATAGAAGTACAGGAAGCAAGACACAATAGAGACGATGAAGATGTCAAGAAGGCAGTGAATGAATATGATGACATCCTGGAGACGTATATTCCTGTATTGATGGCCCAGGCAGAAAATCTACTGGAACCTCGAAAGTTATTCAATGGTAGAAGAGATCTTTCGCAAATCTGTGGAATTCTGCAATGAGCATGATGTGTGGAAGCTGACTGTGGCTCATGTTCTCTTCACAAAAACAAATACAAAGACGCCATCGGTTTTTATGAGCCCGTAGTCAAGAAGCACTATGACAACATCCTGAATGTCAGTGCTACTGTACTGGCTCACCTCTGTGTTTCATACATTATGACAAGTCAAAATGAAGAAGCTGAGGAGTTGATGAGGAAGACTGAAAAGGAGGAAGATCAGCTCTCCTATGATGACCCAGATGAGAAAAACTACCATCTGTGGATTTGCTGATAGGGACACTTTACTGTGCCAAAGGAAATTATGACTTTGGGATTTCTCGAGTTATCAAAAGCTTGGAACCTTATAATAAAAAACTTGGAACTGATACCTGGTATTATGCCAAAAGACGCTTCTTGTCTTTATTACAGAACATGTCATAATACATGATCATGTTTTGTGAGAGTGTTACTCAAGAATGTGTTCAGTTTCTAGAACACTGTGAACTTCATGGCGGGAATGTACCTGCCATTATTGAACAACTCCTAGAAGAGGAAAGAACACATATTGGAAAGAATGCAGTCACATATGAATTCAGACAGTTAAAAGCTTTGATTTATGAGATTATAGGATGGAATATGTAGTCATGTCTGATAATGGTTTGCATCATACTGGCTTTATATCTGTATTTTATACTGTTTTATTTGTATTTAGCCATTGGCATCTTTACTTTGTTACATGTTGAACTTTGTACACTTTACAATTATTTAACTAAAAAAAAGAAGAAGAAAAGAAAAGCCCAGCTGGTGTGGTTCAGAGGTTGAGTGTCTATCCATGAACCAGGAGGTCACAGTTCGATTCCCAGTCAGGGGGTTGTGGGCTCAATCCCCAGTAGGGAGTGGGCAGGAGGCAGCCGATCAATGATTGTTTTATGTTTCTATCTCTTTCTCCCTCTCCCTTCCGATTCTCTGAAATCAATAAAAACATATTTTAAAAAGAAAAATAAATAAAGAAAAGTGAGACTAAATTTTCATCTGAAAGGACAAATAGGTACTTTCAGTGCCTCTCATTGGATTCCCGAAGAGAGCTGGCTCTACCAACAGTCACACCCCAGGGAGGGTGACTGCCATGACAGTAATCCTCCGCAATTGGACAGAGTTACAATTGCAATGTTTCCTGCCAGCTTGAGGGATCTCACTGCTGAACCTGTGCCAGAAGCTGCCCTAGGAATTCCCCTTGCTCCCTGCTCTCCCCACCACCTCCTGTTCTCCAAATTAATAGTGCAGCTGACTGTTTACCTTTTATCTCTTAGGGGGAGGCATCGCTCCAGAACTCTTGGTTTTGCCACTTTTTGTGTCTGATTCTCATTTTCTATGTTTGTAAAATGGGGCTTGTATCTATCTTGAAGGAACAGGGGGCAATTAAATTAACCATTCCTGCTCCCCAGACTCAGAGGCAGGCACGCCTTTATTTCTAGTCCCCTTTCTGCTCCCCAAAATACTTTACACATTTCTCTCAGACGATCTTTTGACTTTCTACCACTCTTGAGAGGTTTTCTGGATCTCACCCTTCCTGAAAGCCACAGTGGGTCTGTATCCATTGTGTTCTAATTAATGTAATTTTAGCAAGTTCTGTATTCAGTGAATGCTAATTAACGTGGTAGTAGAGGGCGAAGATGTCTCCTAAACAAGTGTTGCACCCAGTGAGGAAAATTTATCCCATCCCGTGTCTTCCCAAGGGAGGCACAATTTTGTATTTACTTGAAAAATTTTTCTTAATTGGTAATTTATCTCCTGACTTTGAAACAAGTCTGAGATGCTTGCCTGCTGTGGACCTGCGCTGACAAGGACAGGTCCTCGAGGGGCTGCTTTCCTCCCATCCAGCCTGGCAGGGGCAGAGCAGCCTGCGGCTCAGACTTGAGCTGACTTTTGACCAATTGCATGTGAAGCAGGAATGGGCCCTGCAGGGGCTACGGGAGTACACTGTGGGATGGATCGGGCCTGTCCTGCAGTGAGTAACCGAAGCAAAGACAACTCGGACAACTAGTTAGTGCTTTGCCACAGGATTCAGAGTCAATTTCCGTTGCAAGGATCCTTGCTTTTGTTATACTCCCAACCCTCACCCCCCCGAGCATTTAGTGCATAGACTCAATTGAAAGCACACTCAGTTTTCATATTTTTGCGTTTTGTGATTTTCTATCATTATGGAAAGGATGCTAGGCCAGGGTAAGCGGGAATCAAATACTTCAAGTGGAACTGAAGATCTTAGTTCCCTCAAAAATGGGGTGAATTGATTAATGTTAGACATTAGATAAGCGGTTCTCAACCTGTGGGTCGCAACCCCTTTGGCGGTCGAACGACCCTTTCACAGGGGTCGCCTAAGACCATCCTGCATATCAGATATTTACATGACGATTCATAACAGTAGCAACATTACAGTTATGAAGTAGCAACGAAAATAATTTTGTGGTTGGGTCACAACATGAGGAACTGTATTTAAAAGGCCAGAAGGTTGAGAACCACTGCATTAGATAGACTGCCCTGGTAGAATATGATTTGGTTATTAAGGCCTCCCACTCTGCAGCCAGGCTGACTGGGTTCAAAAAGACAAGTTACCTAACCTCCTTCTGCCTCAGTTTCTTCATCTGTAAAGTGGAGGCAGTAATGGTTCCTGCCTCATGAATATCGAATGAGGTAAGATTTGGGAAGCACAGCACTATACAAATGTTTGTTCGGTAACTAAATATGCTTACTGGATTTCATGAGTTCTAATTCTAACTGATTTGCTGTATGTCATTTCTTTCATTCAGCAGAAATATTTTTCCAAATGCTGAAATGCAAATGTAAACGTAAGATTTGGTTTTCTAAAAAGCTTTTTGCCTTTATTTTTTTCTAGCAGTTTTAGTGTTCCAAGTTAATAGTTTTAAAATTCACTGGGAATTGCAGGCAAAGTGTTTTCCTGGTTTCTCTTTAAAATATTGCTTCCAGGCATTTTCTAGGGCATGTTTTGATTGGTAACTATATTTTTTGTAGATTACCCATTAATAAAATCCTGTCTTAACATTTGTATCTAAGTTATCATCGATTCCCTAAAGTATTTCAGGATTTTCTTCAGATGAGAATTTAAAGACAACCATACTCTGACATTCCAACAGCCACAAACATCCTTTTTTTCTGTTACACTTGGAGCCTTTAGAGAGCTACAGGTACAGTTTTCTTTTTCAGAGAGGGCGGTTTCTCACATCAAAGGAAGTTAAATATTTTGACTCCCTATCCCCATGTAGCTTTAAGAATTACTCATGAATTTGTTTTTCTATAGAAATAAGATAACTTCTAGGTCCATATAACTTCCAGGGTTAATGACTTCTGAGAAATGAGCAGTGACTCATGCAGATGACTGCTGCTCACTCCTGCCCCTCCCCCATCACCCCCCCACCTCTGTAACCAGGAAATTAAATGAGGTGAGATGTGTAAAGCACCACCTAAAGTACTGCCTGGTTCCATGGGTCCTCAGGAAATGGCAGCTGTTCCGATTTGGGGAAAGGTATCAGAATGGATGTGGTTAAATGCCTGCTAATGTCCTCAACCCTGAGCCTGGCTTTTACCGATTTCATAATTGCAAGGAAGCCCTTATTCAAAACATGTCTCTGGTGACTCTGGTAGTGGCAGGGGGAGGGACGGGGGATGCTCTCCTATGCTTGTTCCCTCCCTGGTCCCGGGCTGTGTGCTCGGGTGTGGGCTGGCTGCCACCCTCACGAAGCGCACGTAGCCCTGTCACTCAGCCGTCACCCAGCTGGCTGGGAGCCAGACCGCCACGGGAAGGGCTGCCTTCCCCAACTCAAGCAGCCTGCATTGATAGGTGGATGTTCCCGGGCCTGTTTACTGTGCTTAATTGCAGGGCTCTGGCTGAATCCCCTCCAAGAGGAAGAATTAATCACAATTCAGGGAGGAATGACAATAGTCTCTCACATTCCTGGCCTCTGAGTGCTTCAGCGGCTTCTTGGGGAAGGGTGATTTACTTAAGTGCCTGCACAGAGTGCAGGAGCCCTGGAATAGAATCTTGATCTAAAGCAGTTAGATGTTAAGGACCTGTGAGTCCTCTGTGACTGCGTGTATGTGTGCACATTTCCAGGGGTGGGGGTGGAAGCCCAGCTCTTTAATGTAAGAGTCTCATGGCACTGTTTTCACTGAGCTAGGAGAACTACATAGAAGGTTCCAGAGTCTTGGCAATTGTTGATGGTTGTGTGGATGACCCTGGATCTAGGACCCAGTTCACAGTAGAGTCAAACAAGGGCACCGATGAGAAGGTCTACCTGGGGACAGGTCTTCAAGTAAAGATGGTACAGTCCCTGCTCAGGGTGCTCTGGCCTGACCAGGGGGCCGGCAGACCCACTTCACCAGAGCCACTGGCTATAATGTCTTACTTTTCATTTTCACAATTACTGAAGGTCCTGCCTTCCAACAACATTCAGGAGTGGGGCATGGTGATGATTGTTCTGAATTGGAGATGAGGTTATGTGTGTCAAGCAGCGTTGTGGCTATGTGGGTTCAGAGGCATTTGTGGCGTGGAGGTGGGCAAATAGGGGGGCAGAAGTAGTTCTCAGTGTAGAAACAGAAGAGTAGAAAGTACTTCAGTAAGTAACTTGGGGTTTGCTGAAAGGATTACAGTAAGTCCTCAATGTTGTCAATAGGTTCTGCGACTTTAAACAAAACCATATATAATGAAACCAATTTTACCATGGGCTAATTAACGTAAAGCGTTACGTTCCTATGGCATCTCATCAATGTTAAAACAAAACGATGCTAGTCAAGCGGCTGCTGTACTTACCTGCCCAGTATTTGACTGGCGTTCTCAATCTCCGGAAACTTCTAGTCAGATGCTGAAACGTTGGGAAGGGGAATGTGGGGACTGGACTCAGCTCATGTTGTTGCCCCCTGAAAGCATATTTCCTATTCCTTCCTCATTTTGTTACATTCATCTTTAACTAGAGGCACTAGGAGGAAATAGTGAGGCCTCTCTTAACCAGCAAGAGAGATGACAAAAAAGATGCCAAGAGAGCTAATGACAGTTTGCACAAAGTTCCCTGCTTTTTTCTCTGAAGTACCTACATTGCCTACCACTAATTTCTTTAGGCCAAGCTAGATGAAGTGAGGATGAATATGTACAAATTCTAAGGCACTTTTGAAGCTTATGCGTTGTTCGTCATCACATTGAGAGCTCGAATTTTTGTTTAACTTTGCATAAAGGAGGCGGCTGGCAGCAATGTGAACTTTGTTTAAGGACATCTCCTTGAAACTCCCGGAGAAAGCTTTGCACAGTTGTCATCAGCTTGTGACGATGCCCTGTGAATATTGTGCTGAAGTAATTTAATTTAAGTGGCAACAACGGGCCCCACAAGGTGTCCTTGAAGAGGACATACCCCTGGACAAGGAGGATGGGGAGAGGCCTCTGCCTTCCAGTCACTGCCCTTGCAGAGGATTTTTGGAGTTTTCTTCACTCACTCCTTGTCACAGCCAAATGGAAAAGAATGGAAAATGACATTTTGGCTTAATTTATCTTTAGTGTTATGTTAAATTTATTGTTGAAAGTATTACATATGCTCCCTTTGTTTTTTTTTTCCCCATTGACCCCCTCAACCCTGCACCCGCCCCTCCCAGGCCTTCACCAGGCTATTTATTGTCTGTGTCCGTGGGCTGTGCATATCAGGATATAAGTTCCTCGGTTGATCTCTCCCCTGGCCCTCCCCCAACACCGTCTTTAGTTTTTCTGTT